TTTTTTCCTGTACGAACAGTTTATGCTCTATGCACTTTTCTATTCGGATAGATATACTTTTATGTACTCGATTGTACGGTGAAAATATATTATTTTCAATTCAAATTCATTTGTGATGCTCCTCCATAGTTAAAATAATGGCTTAAATATAAGTATTTATATTACCATTCCTTTCTTGAATAGAATATAACATTAATCTAAGTTCAATTTGTAATTTGTGATTAAACGGTATCAGCTTTTGGAATCAGAATTCAGAACTTTTTATTTATCTATTGTTTTCTTGTGCAAATTGGAAGCGGTGGTCTATGTGTTTGGTCCCAGCTTTCACCGATGCCATTTTATCTGGTTATGTAAAATGGCCTCTATGTCGTGTCTTAAAATAAGCACTCGAAACGGCGTCGTCTCTCACACCTAATAGAAACAAAATTACAGAACAGAAACAACCCGCTGAGTGGAGTCCAGCTGTATTGTATCTACCCATTTGAAATTCAAAAATATTTTTACAACTCATTTTTAATTTTGAACGGTTACTTTTCCTCCCGTTTGAATCTTGAAGCGGCTGCCCAACGCCAATTAATGACCGTTAGATTCTCTCACAGTGATTAAAAAAATATTATAAAAGTTCCTCACCATTTCTTTTCCCATCTATAAAGCCTCTCTTGTGCCCTTTTTCATTCACCTCCTAATCTTCCTTCTTCACCTCTCCAAAAACGAAATCAAATTTTTGAAAAATGCGTGAAATCCTTCACATCCAAGGTGGTCAGTGTGGCAACCAAATCGGTGCCAAGTTCTGGGAAGTGGTATGTGCCGAGCACGGCATAGACTCCACCGGCCGCTACGAAGGAGACTCAGATCTGCAACTAGAGAGAATCAATGTCTACTACAACGAAGCCAGTTGTGGTAGGTTCGTTCCTCGTGCTGTTCTCATGGATTTAGAGCCTGGAACCATGGATAGCGTCAGATCTGGACCTTATGGTCAGATTTTCCGGCCAGATAACTTTGTTTTTGGCCAGTCTGGAGCTGGTAACAACTGGGCTAAAGGCCATTACACTGAAGGTGCTGAGTTGATCGATTCTGTTCTTGATGTTGTTCGAAAAGAGGCCGAGAACTGTGACTGCTTGCAAGGTATCTTTTTAAAAATTT